GATGTACATATATACCTGGTATACTATATATATATATATATATATATATATATATATATAAAAATAAATAAAAATGTCTTTAATAAATAAATTGTCGGACCTTGTCCATTTCTTAACATATATATATATATATATATATATATATATATATATATATATATATATATATATATATATATATATAATGAGAAAGCCAATATACTTTCTTAATATGTATATATAGAAAAAGTTTCAAATTGAAAATTATAATGTTTTTTTTATGAAAGTATATAAATAAATAAATACTTTCAAAAATAAAACATTATAATTTTCAATTTGAAATCTTTTATATATATATATATATATATATATATATATATATATATATATATATATATATATATATATAGTGTATCAAAATTACATTTAAAAATTTTGAGATCAGGTTCCTCAGGCCAAAGCAAAGACAAAGGGTACAATTCCAAACTACTTTTACAAACTTTAGAGGCGGGGCCCAGACACCAAAACAAGGTAAAATGTTCATATAAACATATATCCAAAAGGCCATCATTCTACCTCAGCAATTCATAATAAATGTTCAAAATGCCCTTCACTTGCTACTACATACACGTGAGTGTAATATGGAGAACAATTTCTACGGGCCACAAGGGATAGGAAGTTGTGGAGAGCCATGATCGACCATGTGCAGAAATTGCGCTGCCCTTTTAAATATTGTTAGAATCATTTACTATGCCTATGAAATAGATTTAGTAAATAGGTATTTTTTACAAAAAATCCTTTTTATAACGTAAAATTAACTAATAATTATCAATCCAAAATTGCTGGACTATCTTCAGCCAATTAATTGCTATTCTTACTTGTAAGTTTCTAATTATATATGCAAGTTAACACGTCATGCGTATGACGAAAAAGTACGTCAAACAGCAAGGCCTCTGATCAGGAGATTTTGAGGAGCATGGAACCACCTCTTAATTGCTGGTGTTCCCAGGTCTACTCTGACCCAGGTTAGTAGCACCTGTTAGGGTCCCAGCTATGGGTAAATAGTTAACCCCCAAACTGGGGTCAAAACACTATGAAAGTGTAAAAATGGGCTTTAATACCAGAATTAATTTGTAAAAAATTATTACCAGCCATCATTTTTTTAAGAAAAAATTATTACCAGCAATACATTTTTAAAAAAATTCATATTATCAGCAAAACATTACTTTTAAAAAAATATTACCAGCTATACATTTTTGAAAAAAAATATTACGAGCAATAAATTTTTGAAGAAAAAAAAAATTGAAGGAATAAAATATTACCAGCAATACATTTCTGAAAAATATATTGCCAGCAATAAAAAAATTGTCGAAAACCATTGAGGTGTTGATATGCCGTAAAGCAAAACAAACAAGCTAGTTAGCAATTTTTGTTTATTTGTCAGATTGTACGTTAATCCTTAGCAATAAACTGCTAAATGCGTTACATAAGTACTATACAATTGTATCATTAGGAAATTTAAAAATAAATATTGGTAATTAACCAATGTTCTACCAAATAATCAAAAAAATGATTTTTTAAGCATTTCACCCCAAGCAATATATATATAATATATAAAGTGAACATATATATATATATATATATATATATATATATATATATATATATATATATATATATATATATATATATATATATATATATATATATATATATATATATATATATATATATATATATATATATATATATATATATATATATGTATATATATATGTATAAGAACACTGAATAACACTCAGAGGCGACAGGCTGTTTCATGCTAGAAGCAAACGTCAGGCGTGATGATTGCGTCTAGCATTAAACGGCCTGTCGCCTCTTAGTATTCATTTTTATATTTACATACGCTCTATCTCTGATATTTCTTTATATATATATATATATATATATATATATATATATATATATATATATATATATATATATTTAGTTGGCTTGATGTGAGTCTGTGACTTTTGGGGATTTTTTTTTAATAATTTGAATTTTTTCTAATTATTTTTTTATTCCTTGTTAGTATATTCGAAATTTTGGTTAAAATCTTGTTATTCTTGCGTCAGAGGATAGAGTATAAATTAGCATAACAAATTTTAGCCTCTCTTTTGCAGTGAAAGACACATTGATTTGGAAATTCTTGCAAAATCAAATAATTGTCGGATTTTAATGAAGCTTTCAGTGCTTATTTATCAGGTCATCCCATAAGTTCTGTCCGAATTTTGAATAAAGAAAACAAGTGACCAAATGTTACATTTAATTACAGATTCAATTAACAATGTATTTTCCCTGATTATCTATGACATCCTTCCATCTATTAACAAGCTTACTAATTCCATTACTGTAAAATTCTTTTGGCTTTGATTCGAAGAACTCACAAATGTTAGTTTTAACCTCTTCCTGTGTTACAAAAAGCTGTTTCTTCCAAATGATTCTGTCAGCTACGAAACAAATGGTAGTCTGAAGGAACAAGATCGAGAGAATAAGGTGGATGAGGAATTTTCTTCGATCTTTTGTGACGTGATTCTTGCTGTGTGGGGTCACGCATTGTCCTGATGAAACATCACCGCTTTTCAATTCACTAGAGCAGGTCTTTTTTTCCTCAAAGCTTAGTTCAAACGCTCTAATTGCTGACAGTATATTTGAGCATTAATTGTTGCATTAGGTGGTAAGAATTCAAAGTGGATTATTCCTTGGCAATCCCACCAGATTGAAAGAAGAACCTTTTGCCCATGAAGTTCCCTTCTCGGCTGTGGCTGGGGACCTTCCCCTTTACCAAGCCACTGTCTACGACGCTTAACATTTCGATAAAAGATCCATTTTTCGTTCGTCGTCAGTCACAAGTCTATCCAAAAAAGGTGAAACAAGTTGGCGAGAATGGTGAGAAGAGCAGATGTCAACTCGAGATTTGAGGTTGTTTTCAGACAATTCATGAGGCACACATTTTCCAAGTTTAGGAACTTTTCCAAGTTGTTGAAGATGACGATGAACAGTTGTATGGTTTTAACTGAGAACCACTGCCAATTCCTGAACTGATAAAGCAGGATTTTCTTCAAGGGCTACTTCAAGAAGCTTTTCATCAAACTCAACTGGACGTCCTGTTCAATCTTCATCTTCAAGGGTGAAATCTCCACCTCTGAATTTTGCAAATCATCTTCTGCAAGTTCTTTGATTCACACATTCCTATCCATAAACTGAGTGAATGTTTCTAGCCGCTTCGGCTGCTGAGTTTCCTTTCTTGAACTCATAAAGCATTATGTGCCTCAAATGATCCATGTTAGCAGGGTTTTAATCAAACAAAATTTAAATTTATTGTTCTTTGAAATAAAATTTGATCAGTTTAAATGCATCTAAACATAAAAATAATGTTCAGCTCCATTAGACATTATAAAATACTCTTTAAATTTCGTTCATTTTAACAAAAAGTTAAAATTCGGACAGAACTTATGGGATACATAAGAATGAAATTATTCTAGAAGTGATTTTTTTTTAGAAATTGTTAGTAAAAATATTTTTCTTCCATCTGTTACCCTTACTTACTTAATTTTATGAAAACTCGAGAAATTGAAATTTGTAATTTTATTGATTATATTATAAAGCAGAAGTCTTTGAAAAATTTAAATCTGATTTTTTTTTTAATCAGACTAGCAGTTACCAAAAATCTGTTCTGAATTTTAAAATAAAAAATCCAATAAAATTAAACATTATTTAATTACAAATAATTATTTGCTTTTATGAATAATATATGTTAAGTACAATATTATCTGAACCAAAAAATATTCCCATGAAAAATGAATTTTTACAAGAAATGTTTTCGTTTTTTTTTTTTTTTAGAATTTTAATTGCAATAATTAATAACGTTTTTAAAGCTTTTAAAATTCACTTTCAACGTTTTAATTTTTAGGGCATATTGTTATGAAGTAAAACTATTTTTACCAATGATAAATCTAAAATCTTACTACAATCTGCAATCTACCAGTATTTGAAAAAAGAATTTTGAATTATTTATGCATGTGTATAAACATGACCCTTTTTTATATACGGATGTTCATATATTACATTATTATTAAAATGTTACCTGTTTCAAGTGTTGTTTAATATTTAAAATTTCATAACTGAGATAATATAAAAATAATAATAAATAAAATAATATAAACTTTCATAAGAGATGTACGGAAAAAACTTATAGGCACCTCTATTATTTATAAAATTTATCTCAGTTATAAAATTTTAAATTTATTTTATTGTGATATTATTTTAAATTTTATTATTATTTTTTTCCAAAAAAGCATCTTCAAATGTAAGGCTACAGAGCTAAAGTACCTAAAAATCAATAAAATATTAATCCTTAAAATACTTGTTATTTTGTACAAATAATTAGGTAGTTAAATAAGTTCGCTTAAAATTTGTAAAATTTATGTCACTTCTGGTCATCCGTTGAATAATTTCTTACATCACCTGTCAATACATCGATGAAAACTTCAAATACAAGTCAGCGTCATTGAGAAATCGATATTTTGTTTTAATTTTTTATGCTGACAATTTTTATGCTGAGAAAAAATGTTTATTCTGAGAGACATTTGTTATGAAACATTTTTTTTTTGCTGAGAAAGTAACGTTTGTTTCAAATTAGACTAATTAAATTTTAATTTATTAATTTTCTTCAGATAACTTTTGAAAAAAGTATATTCTATTTTTGCTAGATTTTTAAAACTGAGAATTAACTTGTTTACAAATGACGGACAACTTCGATTTTATTTTAACAACAACAACAAAAAAAACATGATCATTCCAATTAATCTAAATTTCGTTTTAAATACACCAAAGTATTTTGCTTATTGGATTGAGTAAATTTATTTCTTTACTTTTAAATTAAAACTAAAAAAAAGCTACAAGAAATATTTTTCATTTTTTAAAATACAGTTTAAACCTTAGCTATCGGGAATCTGTGAACAAACTTTTGTTCATTATCAATCTATCATAGATTGAGAATGAACAAGAATAGATAGATATATAGCAACAGAATAAACTAGATAGATAGATAGATAGATAGATAGATAGATAGATAGATAGATAGATAGATAGATATGAACAGATTTAATCATGAACAGACTAAGATAGATAGATAGATAGATAGATAGATAGATAGATAGATAGGAGCAGACACAGAAAATATTTTTGCCAATCATTGTATCATCATCTATGGTTCATAAAGATATATACGTCTAAAGTTATTAACATATGCGTGTGTGTGTGTGTGTGTGTGTGTGTGTGTGTGTGTGTGTGTGTGTGTGTGTGAACGTGTGTGTATGTATGTATAGAGGGAGATGGATCATAATATAAACAGCTGAACAGCCACAGAAATGATAGATAGATAGATAGATAGATAGATAGATAGATAGATAGATAGATAGGAACAGACAGAAAATATTTTCGCCAATCTTTGTATCATCACTTATGGCTCATAAATATATATTCCTCTACAGTTATTAACATATATATATATATATATATATATATATATATATATATGTTTGTATGTGTGTATGTATACAGGGAGATGGATCATAATATAAACAGCTGAACACATTCATAGAGGTATTCTGTTTCTCGCTTTTCTTTCATCTTTCAAACAAACGAACGCTCGTGTCCAGAAGCCGTTCGAGTATCGGCGGTTTTTCTTGATTACATCTGAAGCGATGCTAATTGGAGGTCTGATTTTGCAGTAATTTGGCCACTTATTCTTCGCCTCAAATCTGCTCGCCACCCTGGCCACTGCTGCTGATACCACCCATCTGCCGTCGGCTCTCTCAGCTAACTGGACAAAATGGCCGACGTCATTAACTGGAAGCTATTGATCATCATTGCGAACATGAAGGGTGCTTCGGTGGCTACGATGTGAAATAAAGGCGAGGTATGCGAGAATCTAACAGAGATAATATTTATTTGATTCTTTTCGTCTCTATTTTTCTTTTCTTTTTTTTTTTCCTTTTTGCACGGCTGAAGAAAGCAAAGCATAAGGATGACACATGAATAATAAGACGTCATCTTTACGCCCAAAAAGGAAGGAATAAGAAAACAAAATGGCGCTGAATTTGTTCCAGTGTCGAATGATATCATTTCCTGGCATATGTTGTGGCTGAGTCGATATTGTTCAAAAAGATATTTTACGTTTTTTTCCTTCTTTATGTTGCTCTAACGAAAACTGAAAAAGAAACCAAAACTTTACTCTATTTTTGATCGTAATTGACTGACTTCGATCGATGATAATTCTAGAAGATTCCGGTAATTATCCGTAAATGTCCGGAGATTGCCGATTTGACTATTAAATGGTTTTGTTAACCGTGGTCTTCCCGAAACAAAGGACTTCACACATCGAATCGATCACATATCAAGCTATAGTTCAGATAAAAACACATTTTCAAATTGACATCAGAGTACATAAACCACATGTACACGAACAAGTACACAAACAGAAGAAAATAAGGATTCAAACAGAAAATGTCATTTTATTAGTAGTACTATATATATATATATATATGTGTGTGTGTGTGTGTGTGTGTGTGTGTGTGTGTGTACTGACTGAAAAAATATTGATAAGCTGAATATGTGTTTCAAAAACACTCAGAAAAAGAATTGTCGCTTACTCGCAGTTTTTTGCCGACCAGACAAATCACCCCTAGTTGTGTCTCGTGACGATGTGCACACAAACTGGGAAAAGATCATTGCATGCTCGCAAGGAAATTAAAATGGTAGTAATTAAAACCATGATGAGAATGAAGACACGAAACCTGATTTTAATATATTTGGCTGAGTGTTGGCGTATTCACTGGTACGCTCTAGAGGTAAAGCAAGTGACACTGCGGACACTATTTCCCTTTCTCTTAAACCAGCGAGAACTCGCTCTAGTTCCCCTATAAACCTTTTTATACGTCGCTGGGGACACTTTCTGCTATTTCTGTCATGACAGGCGAACGGAACAGCCTTTCTCTTAAACCAGCGGGAACTCGCTCTTGTTCCTCTATAAACATTTTTTACATCACAATGCCCGACTGTCAAATCGCCCACAGGTGGCCTCCAAACACACACACACAAATTCTCTCTCACTTTCTCTCTCTCTCTCTCTCGCTCATTCTCTCTGTCTCTCTCTCCCTATCTCTCTCTCTCTCTTTCTCTCTCTCTCTACGGAGGTCGCAGAAATGGGAGATTTCAGAACTAAGGAGGCCCGGTGGAGCAATGGATAGCAGCTTGGATTGAGGAATCGGAGAGCCTAGTTCGAATTCCAGTCTAATCCATTACATTCACTTACATGCTAATACCCTTGGGAAAAGTATGAATCCCCTTCTTCCCCACCCCACTTCCCCAGCTATGGGTAAACATCGGGTTCTATAGCCTTGAATAGCAACTGGTCTACCGCAGCGTGAAAAAAACATCTGCCTCGTCAGTCATGTATCGACTGATACATGATCGCCTAAGCGTGTATCACACATGGCACATAACTGACTGACTGACTTCAATTCTAACCGTGATTGCTTATATGATCCTGTCACTGGAACTTTCTAAGTTCAAGTAAAATGAATTTTGCTCCTGATAGTTTTCAATTATTAACCTATGTTTTTATTTCGTTTTGGTCAAGTGGGTGGCTGCTTTGAAGATCCTACTTCATAGACTTTACTGCTAGTCATTAATGGTAGGCCACATACTATAGCACATTTGGTGAATGCCATCTTACGAGGTATTATTCCACGTCTTCTGCATTTTTTGGATGCAATACAAAAATTGTACGCGGGGTAATTAAACAAGCCTGGTGTTGTTACATAGATATTCAATATTTCAGGCCAGAAAAGTTGCTTGTACAGAATGTTGAATAGTATTAATATAGGTAACATGTGAGCAGGCATAATTCTGCTGAAGCAGCATATCACTTTCCTGTTAGAGCAGAATCGTCTGGAAGCTGTCGCTCTCGGGGTCAACGTTTCACATCCAAACGACCGTCACTTGCATGTATGCCGAACCTTCTCTTGTCATTGAACGTTAGAAAACGCCATTTAGTAACTCTGATGACGCTCTAACAGGGTAAGTGAAAATCTGGCTAGAGGCACGCTTGCTCCTGGTTTTGCTGCAATTAAATGCTTCCCAACCCTCTGTGTTAAGATTCCTACGACCATATTTACTCTGATCTGTGCTTTGGAAGAGAGCGATCTACCATTGCTCCGCTTACAATACGGCGATATTGACGAACGTCTATAGTACATGGCCTTCCAGAAGCCGGTTCACGGGTGTAGGAATGGCTATTTGACCATTGCGACCAGCATCGAAGCAATACTACCCTGTGCCTTTATTTATAAATATTTTCATAGAAATTTTCCCGATGAACTTTACTCTAGGGTACCTAGACGTTGTGAATTTAAACAGTACTAGATTGTGAAAGAAGAAAAGCCAAAACTAAAAGTAGCTTCAAAAGTAACAGGATACATACTATTGTAACCTAGAAAAGGTTACTGAATGAGGAATAACCAAAACGGAGGTTGGATATGAAATGGTAATCTTTATAATATCAACAAAATACAATACTCGCCAGCGACGTGAAGTAGGTAAACCACTGCTAGTGGTGGACTACTTAGACAGCATATTACCTCCACTTACAATAGTGTCCAACGTATTTATGAGGATTGGGACATACCCATTAGGGTTCATTTGTTCGGTATATAACAATAGATAACGAAGAGAAGGAGATAGATAGATAGATAGATAGATAGATAGATAGATAGATAGATAGATAGATACGAACAGACTGTGATTGATAGATAGATAGATAGATAGATAGATAGATACGAACAGACTGTGATAGATAGATAGATAGATAGATAGATAGATAGATAGATGTTGTAACCTAGAAATGGTTACTGAATGAGGAATAACCAAAAAGGAGGTTGGAAATGAATTGGTAATCTTTATAACATCAACAAAATACAATACTCGCCAGCGGCGTGAACTAGGTAAACCACTGCTAATGGTGGACTACTAAGACAGCATATTACCCCCATTTACAATAGTGTCCAACATATTTATGAGGATTGGGACATAGCCATTAGTGTTCATAGGTATAGAATATAACTGGTTGATATGCTGTAAAACAAATCTAACCAAACCTACCTACCTACCTACCTACTGTGTGTGTTTGTAATCCTTTGTGTATTCCAACCCCTTCCCCCCCCCACTTTAAAAGTGTTGATTTTAATGTTGTCATTTTCTTTACTACCACATCTCCCTTAATCTGTTCACTGCAATGGAAAGGAGAATTTAATTATCCATCTGGTTCAATCGACAACATAACTTCTAAGTTGATGTTCCTTTTTTGGAAAGAGGGTAAAAGCCTTACCAAATTCCTTGCAGTTTTGTAAAAGATACTTCTCACTTTATAATAATAATCCAGTGCTTTGGAATGTGTTTAGTATTGACTATTTTAGTCAAATTCCTTATCTTTTATACAAAATGTTTAGTATTGACTATTTTAGTCAAATTCCTTATCTCTTATACAAAATGTTTAGTATTGACTATTTTAGTCAAATTCCTTATCTCTTATACAAAGTGTTTAGTATTGACTATTTTAGTCAAATTCCTTATCTCTTATACAAAATGTTTAGTATTGACTATTTTAGTCAAATTCCTTATCTCTTATACAAAATGTTTAGTATTTTAGTCAAATTCCTTATCTCTTACTATTTTTAGTCAAATTCCTTATCTCTTATACAAAATGTTTAGTATTGACTATTTTAGTCAAATTCTTATCTCTTATACAAAATGTTTTTGGTCATTGACTCTTATTTTTAGTATTGACTAAAAATTCCTTATCTCTTATACAAAGTGTTTAGTATTGACTATTTTAGTCAAATTCCTTATCTCTTATACAAAATGTTTTAGTATTTGACTATTTTAGTCAAATTCCTTATCTCTTATACAAAGTGTTTAGTATTGACTATTTTAGTCAAATTCCTTATCTCTTATACAAAGTGTTTAGTATTGACTATTTTAGTCAAATTCCTTATCTCTTATACAAAATGTTTAGTATTGACTATTTTAGTCAAATTCCTTATCTCTTATACAAAGTGTTTAGTATTGATTGAAATTCTATTTTAGTCAAGTATTGACTATTTTAGTCAAATTCTTATCTCTTATACAAAGTGTTTAGTATTGACTATTTTAGTCAAATTCCTTTCTTTATCTCTTATAGTATTGAAAGTGTTTTAGTATTGACTTATTTTAGTCAAATTCCTTATCTTTATGCAAAGTGTTTAGTATTGACTATTTTAGTCAAATTCATATCTTATCTGTTATATTGAAAGTGTTTATCTCTTATTGTTTAGTATTTTTTTAGTCAAATTCCTTATCTCTTATACAAAATGTTTAGTATTGACTATTTTAGTCAAATTCCTTATCTCTTATACAAAGTGTTTAGTATTGACTATTTTTTCAGTCAAATTCCTTATCTCTTATACAAAGTGTTTAGTATTGACTATTTTAGTCAAAATTCCATATCTCTTATGCAAAGTGTTTAGTATTGACTATTTTAGTCAAATTCTTATCTCTTATACAAATGTTTAGTATTGACTATTTTAGTCAAATTCCTTATCTCTTATACAAAATGTTTAGTATTGACTATTTTAGTCAAATTCCTTATCTCTTATACAAAGTGTTTAGTATTGACTATTTTAGTCAAATTCCTTATCTCTTATACAAAGTGTTTAGTATTGACTATTTTAGTCAAATTCCATATCTCTTATGCAAAGTGTTTAGTATTGACTATTTTAGTCAAATTCCTTATCTCTTATAAATTCCTTAAAGTGTTTAGTATTGACTATTTTAGTCAAATTCCTTATCTCTTATGCAAAGTGTTTAGTATTGACTATTTTAGTCAAATTCCTTATCTCTTATACAAAGTGTTTAGTATTGACTATTTTAGTCAAATTCCTTATCTCTTATACAAAGTGTTTAGTATTGACTATTTTAGTCAAATTCCTTATCTCTTATACAAAGTGTTTAGTATTGACTATTTTAGTCAAATTCCTTATCTCTTATACAAAATGTTTAGTATTGACTATTTTAGTCAAATTCCTTATCTCTTATACAAAGTGTTTAGTATTGACTATTTTAGTCAAATTCCTTATCTCTTATACAAAGTGTTTAGTATTGACTATTTTAGTCAAATTCCTTATCTCTTTATACAAAAATGTTTAGTATTGACTATTTTAGAAATTCTATTTTATACAAAGTGTTTAGTATTGACTATTTTAGTCAAATTCCTATCTCTTATACAAAATGTTTAGTATTGACTATTTCAGTCAAATTCTTTATCTCTTATACAAAATGTTTAGTATTGACTATTTTAGTCAAATTCCTTATCTCTTATACAAAGTGTTTAGTATTGACTATTTTAGTCAAATTCCTTATCTCTTATATTTTAAAAAGTGTTTAGTATTTTTAGTCAAATTCCTTATTTTAGTCAAATTTTTAGTCAAATTCTTATCTCTTATACAAAGTGTTTAGTATTGACTATTTTAGTCAAATTCCTTATCTCTTATACAAAATGTTTAGTATTGACTATTTTAGTCAAATTCCTTATCTCTTATACAAAATGTTTAGTATTGACTATTTTAGTCAAATTCCTTATCTCTTATTGTTGTTACCTAGAAAAGGTTACTGAATAAGGAATAACTAAAACGGAAGTTGGAAATGAAATGGTAACCTTTATAAGATCAACAAAATACAATACTCGCCAGCGGCGTGAAGTAGGTAAACCGCTGCTAGTGATTGATTACTTAGACAGCATATTACCCACCACTTACGAGAGTGTCTAACGTATTTATGAGGATTGGGGCATTCCCATTAGTGTTCATATATACGGTGTATAACAGCCCGCTTTTTAGATTTACTCTGCACAGAGTCAATGTCTTATCCTCGTCGCAAAAATATTCTAAGCTAGCAATGGTTATTGAATGAGTAATAACCAAAATGGAGGTTGGTAATGAAATGAAAATCTTTATAACATCAACAAAATACAATGCTCGCCAGCGGCTTGAATTAGGTAAACCACTGCTTGTGGTGCACTACTTAGACAGCATATTATCCGCCCACCCACTTACAATAGTGTCCAACGTATTTATGAGGATTGGGACATTAGACACATACATTTGAGGGCAGGCGAGACTACTTAATGGGATTTTTGTCCAAATTGAAATACAGAAAGAATATTCTCTTCGACACTATGGATTTGCATTTAAATTTTCGGCGTTTGGAGAAATAATAAAAAGATAAAACCTTATTAAGAGCTACAAGGGACAGGAAGATGTGGAGGGCCACGTTCGCCTACCTCCTGAAGGGATACGACACATAAAGAAGAAGACATTTAACCGTAAGTTTTATGCTAAACTTCCATCGCACTTCTCGCTTGTGGAACTCTCTTCCGGCTTCTTGCTTTCCGGCCAACTTTGATGTTCAGAAATTTAAATGCAATGTCAATCGTTATCGAGTCTTCTTAATTTCTATACTTCTATTTCCCACTCTCCTTAATAGTATATTTTCTTCTCATATTCTTTAATACTCAGTAGTCCGGGGTATGACGATAGACTACATCCGGCAGCAACACCTTTGATCAGGAAGTTTTGAGGAGCGTGGAACCGTCTCTTAATTGCTGTTGTCCCCGGATCCACTCTGATCAAGGGTGGCAGCACCTGTTACGGTCCCAGCTATGGGCAAATATTTAAACCCAAAACCGGGGTCAAAACATTATGAAAATTTAAAAGGATTTATAGTAAAAATGCCAGCAATACATAGTAATAAAATTTACTGGCATTACATTTACCAGCATTTTTAAAAAAAAAATACCATCAATAAATTTTTATAAAAAAATAATAAAGCTCCCAAGAAAATTAAATTTCCGCACTAAATGATCCAATGGATAGATATACCGTAAGACAAACCAAACCTTCTAACACTTAATAGATAATTACTAATTGTTTACAAGATCAAAATTATACGGTGACTATTAATGCGGCTGATGCAAGACTCTTCATTTAGACGAATCCAGTTCTCCGGTCACTGGCGTGTTTGTCTAAAAATAAATATGCCTAAATTCACCTTCATCCCTGCCGTGTGCCAATGGCTTAAGGTTAAAATCTCAGACTGATACCAAATCAGTTTGGTTTCTATCCCGGCTTGAGTCAGTCTGATATTTATCCACATTGATGAGCTGTGAAACAGCGAAACAATCTGGCTGTAGATGAAAATATATATATATATATATATGTGTGTGTGTGTGTGTGTGTGTGTGTGTGTGTGTGTGTGTGTGTGTGTGTGTGTGTGTGTGTGTGTGTGTGTGTGTGTGTGTGTGTGTGTGTAATAAAAAGTTACTGGTCAGAGTTGAATTAGACCAGGAAACAGTGGTATTAAAAAAAGTGCTCAATACACATATAAAAAACTAAAATTTAACATGTGTAGATTTTAAGTATAAAAAATCGGTCAAGTAAACATCGTTTGAAGATTGAAACCAAGGTAGCGGAATCTCTTGATGCTTTTATACTATATATATATATATATATATATATATATATATATATATATATATATATATATATATATCAACACTCAATAAAAAATTTGCGGGGATTTGTTTAGGTCGCTAAAATCACCTTTAGAACTAATAAAATAAACATAAATAAGCAGAAACAAGTAAAAATAATCAATCCAAATAAATAAATAAATAAAATAATAAACAAATTAAAAACTGTTCCCCGCCATAATAGCAGAATAGACTACGGCAATCAATCCAAAAATTGGATGAATAAATAGCTTTATCTTCCTAGACAAAAACAAACTATTAAATAAGCGACCTAAAAAAATCACTAAAAAAAATTTACCTACGTTAATAAAACATCGAAAATCGAAAAGAGTAAATAAATATATAAAATAAAAAATGAAAACTAAAAACAAGTAAAATAAATTAACCCAAATAAATAAAGAAGCCATTCCCGCCAAAATAACCTCCAGAATAGACTACCGACAATGTACCACTGACCCATATATATAAATAGTTGAGAAAAAATCCAACACTCGAGGCCTGTCGCCTCTGAGTGTTGACTTCAGTTTTCACTTTTATATTTATATTTACATACGCTCGATTTCTGATATTGAGCACTTTATCCCATAAATAGAGCACACCTTAAAACTATATTCCTTATTCTTTTATATATA